AGGACAAATTTATAAAAACCGAAATTTTAAAAAATCAAAAAATCTGAAAAAATGAGAAATCAAAAAATTAAAAATTGAAAAATCGAAAAAGAAACACTGAAAACCCCAACAATTTAAACATTGAGATATTGAAGAATTGAAAAAATAAAGAAAAAAAAGAAAAATCGAAAAATTGTAATATTGAAACCTGAAAACCCTGATTAATTGAAAATCGAGAAAGTGAAAAATTGAAAAAACGAGAAACAAAAACTTCTATAAATTAATCAAAAATACAAAAAAAAAATTATTTCAAAATTTAGAAATTTTAAAATTAAAACCGGAAAACTAAAAAATTAAGAAATTGTAAAAAAGAAACAAGGAAAAATTGAAAAATTCGAGAAATCAAAGATTTGAAAGAATACAGAAACTGAAAAATTGGGTAATTGAAAAGCTAAGAATTGTACACTTGAAAAAAATCCTAATGATAATTATTTGAAAAAAGTGAAAAATTAAAAATCGGGAAATTTAAAAATGAAACAATTACAAAATTGTAAATTTGAAAAAAAAATAAAAACGTAAAATCGAAAATTTGTAACATTAAAACTTTAAAAATTGAGAAATTGAAAAATCGAAAAAACGAAAAACTGTAAAAAGATGGGAAATCGCAAAATTAAAATATCTGCAAATTAAAAAATCGAAACATACAAAAATTTTACTGAAAAATAAAAACAATGAAAATCTAAAAACTGAAAAATCGAGAAATCGAAAAATGTAAAAACGAAACACGGAAAAATCGAAAAATTAACAATTAAAAAAACACAAAAATTTAAAAATGTATTGAGAAAATAAAAAGTCGAAGAAACGAAACAACTTGGAATTACATAGTTGATAGTACTTTATTTTTAATTTTTCATTTTCTCAATTTTTGTTTTTTTTTTTTAATTTTTCAACCAAAGGACAAACTTATTAAACACGAAATTTTAAAAAATCAAAAAAATGAAAAATTATAGAACTGAAAAAATGAAAAATCAAAAAATCAAAAACTGAAAAATCGAAAAAGAAACATTGAAAAACCGACTAATTTAAAAATTGAGAAATCGAAGAACTGGAAAAATAAGGAAACTCAAAATCGAATAATTAGGAGGTCAACAATTGGAAAAGGAAAAATTGTAACCTTAAAAATGAAAAAACTGAAAATTTAAAAAACAGAAAAATCGAACAAATGCAAAATTGAAAATCAAAAATAGAGAAAACGAAACTTGAAACCCCGAGAAATTTAAAAATTGTAATCTTAAAACTTCGGTAACCGAAAAAACTGAAAATTTGGAAAATTGGAAAAAAACTGTAAAATCGAAAAACTGATTAATTAAAAATCGAGTAATAGAAAAATACGGAAAACAAAATTTTCTAGAAATAGAAAAATCGACAAATTGTAAAATTCAGAAGTTAAACAATATCAAAATAAACATCGAAAAACTGTAAAATTAAAAAATCGAAAATTGAAAAATCGAAAAAAATGAAACATTGAACAATAACAAAAAATTGAAATACCGAAATGTTGAAGAAATAGCGAAAGTAAAAAATCGAATAACGAAAAAATCAACAGTCGAAAAATCAAAAAATAAAAATATCTTAAAATGGAAAAACGAGAAACTGTCAAATCTAAAAATTGTAACATTGAAACCTGAAAAAAACTGACGAAACAAAAATCGAAAAACTGTGAAATCAAAAAATCAAAGAAGCAAAATAATTTGGAATTTCCTACTTGGAAGTACTTTATTTTTAATTTTTTATTTTCTTAATTTTTCGTCTTTTAATTTTTCAACAAAAGGACAAATTTATAAAAACCGAAATTTTAAAAAATCAAAAAATCTGAAAAAATGAGAAATCAAAAAATTAAAAATTGAAAAATCGAAAAAGAAACACTGAAAACCCCAACAATTTAAAAATTGAGATATTGAAGAATTGAAAAAATAAAGAAAAAAAAAGAAAAATCGAAAAATTGTAATATTGAAACCTGAAAACCCTGATTAATTGAAAATCGAGAAAGTGAAAAATTGAAAAAACGAGAAACAAAAACTTCGATAAATTAATCAAGAATACAAAAAAAAAATAATTTCAAAATTTAGAAATTTTAAAATTAAAACCGGAAAACTAAAAAACTAAGAAGTTGTAAAAAGAAACAAGGAAAAATTGAAAAATTTAAAAACCGAGAAATCAAAGATTTGAAAGAATACAGAAACTGAAAAATCGGGTAATTGAAAAGCTAAGAATTGTACACTTGAAAAAAATCCTAATGATAATTATTTGAAAAAAGTGAAAAATTAAAAATCGGGAAATTTAAAAATGAAACAATTACAAAATTGTAAATTTGAAAAAAAAAATAAAAACGTAAAATCGAAGATTCGTAACACTGAAACCTTGAAAATTGAGAAATTGAAAAATGTAAAAACGAAACATGGAAAAATCGAAAAATTAATAATTAAAAAAAACAAATTTAAAAATGTCGAATTGAGAAAATAAAAAATCGAAGAAACGAAACAACTTAGAATTACATAGTTGGAAGTACATTATTTTTAATTTTTCATTTTCTCAATTTTTCGTTTTTTAATTTTTGAACCAAAGGACAAACTTATTAAAAGCGAAATTTTAAAAAATCAAAAAATGGAAAATTATAGAACTGAAAAAATGAAAAATCAAAAAATTAAAAACTCAAAATCGAATAATTAAGAGGTCAACAATGGAAAAGGAAAAATTGTAACCTTAAAAATGAAAAAACTGAAAATTTAAAAAACAGAAAAGTCGAACAAATGCAAAATTGAAAATAAGAAATAGAGAAAACGAAAATTGAAACACCGAGAAATTTAAAAATTATAATCTTAAAACTTGAAAAATTGAAAACTTCGATAATTGAAAAAACAACTGAAAATTTGAAAAATTGAAAAAAAGGAAATTGTAAAATTCGAAAGTTGAAGAATGTCAGAATAAACATCGAAAAACTGTAAAATTAAAAAATCGAAAATTGAAAAATTGAAAAAAATCGAAAATTGAAAAATTGAAAAAATCAAACATTGAACAATAAAAAAAAATGAAATCCGAAATGTGGAAAAAATAGCGAAAGTAAAAAATCGGATAACGAAAAAATTAACAATCGAAAAATCAAAATATCTTAAAATGGAAAAATCGACAACAAAAAATTAAAAAATGCAACAACAAAAATCTGAAAAAATGAGAAATCAAAAAATTAAAAATTGAAAAATCGAAAAAGAAACACTGAAAACCCCAACAATTTAAAAACTGAGATATTGAAGAATTGAAAAAATAAAGAAAAAAAAAAGAAAAATCGAAAAATTGTAATATTGAAACCTGAAAACCCTGATTAATTGAAAATCGAGAAAGTGAAAAATTGAAAAAACGAGAAACAAAAACTTCGATAAATTAATCAAGAATACAAAAAAAAATAATTTCAAAATTTAGAAATTTTAAAATTAAAACCGGAAAACTAAAAAACTAAGAAATTGTAAAAAAGAAACAAGGAAAAATTGAAAAATTCGAGAAATCAAAGATTTGAAAGAATACAAAAACTGAAAAATCGGGTAATTGAAAAGCTAAGAATTGTACACTTGAAAAAAATCCTAATGATAATTATTTGAAAAAAGTGAAAAATTAAAAATCGGGAAATTTAAAAATGAAACAATTACAAAATTGTAAATTTGAAAAAAAAAAATAAAAACGTAAAATCGAAGATTCGTAACACTGAAACCTTGAAAATTGAGAAATTGAAAAATGTAAAAACGAAACATGGAAAAATCGAAAAATTAATAATTAAAAAAAACAAATTTAAAAATGTCGAATTGAGAAAATAAAAAATCGAAGAAACGAAACAACTTAGAATTACATAGTTGGAAGTACATTATTTTTAATTTTTCATTTTCTCAATTTTTCGTTTTTTAATTTTTGAACCAAAGGACAAACTTATTAAAAGCGAAATTTTAAAAAATCAAAAAATGGAAAATTATAGAACTGAAAAAATGAAAAATCAAAAAATTAAAAACTCAAAATCGAATAATTAAGAGGTCAACAATGGAAAAGGAAAAATTGTAACCTTAAAAATGAAAAAACTGAAAATTTAAAAAACAGAAAAGTCGAACAAATGCAAAATTGAAAATAAGAAATAGAGAAAACGAAAATTGAAACACCGAGAAATTTAAAAATTATAATCTTAAAACTTGAAAAACTGAAAACTTCGATAATTGAAAAAACAACTGAAAATTTGAAAAATTGAAAAAAAGGAAATTGTAAAATCGAAAAACTGATTAATTAAAAATCGACAAATTGTAAAATTCAAAAGTTGAAGAATGTGAGAATAAACATCGAAAAACTGTAAAATTAAAAAATCGAAAATTGAAAAATTAAAAAAAATCGAAAATTGAAAAATTAAAAAAAAATCAAACATTGAACAACAACAAAAAATTGAAATGAACAAATGTTGAAAAAATAGCGCAAGTAAAAAAATGAACAATTGAAAAATCAAAAAATAAAAATATCTTAATATGGAAAAAACGACTGTCAGAAAAAAAATTATAACATTGAAACCTGAAAAAACTGACGAAACAAAAATCGAGAAACTGAAAAATCGACAACAAAAAATTAAAAAATGCAACAACTCCAAAATAAAAATCGAAAAACTGAGAAATCCTAAAATCGAAAAGCGAATCGAAAGTATCAATTTTGCAATTAGGCTCCGCCCCTCGGCCTGACAACGAATGAAAAATTCATAACGTTTGAGATCGAGACGGATGGGTTTTAATTAATACATTTAGTTTTCTTTGTATAACACGAGCATTAAGAACATATTTCACAAGCTAATTTCTCGTAGAAAAATAGAAATTTTACAATTAAGCTCCGCCCCTCGGCTTACGACGAATAAAAAAAATCATCAGAATTGAGATAGGGTGGGTGGGCGGGGCTTATATTTTGTTCTTAATATACATAACATAGCCATCATTTCACAAGAAACTGAGAACATGCAAAATCGATATTTCCTTATACAGATTTTCCATTTTAAACATGTTTTAAGGCAAAATGTATTAAAGTGCAATTTGTTACAGTCCAACGAAGTCGACTTTGACATTCAGAAAAAACAAAAAGAAATCGTGGTGGACGTCATAGGCTCCAAAGACAAACAAAAAGTAATTTTGACAACGTCGCTATCCAAAGATAAAAAATACAGGTATTTGTGTGCAATATTTTGGGGTTTATTTAAAAAAACTATTTTAGCACGGAGAGTGAATCGTACGCAGTTCCTGTCCCTTCCCTCGAATTCGCCTCTCTGTGTTTACGCAATGCTGCCACCCTTTTACCCTCTGACAACAACACGTCTCCCATTCCTCTATTTTTGATACCAGGAGTGACTCCCCCTGTACCGTCTTGTACCCCAGGCCCGGCCCCTTCTTCCCCTATGTCACCAGAAAGTATAATGAGTCTCAGAAACAGTATTCTGGCAGCTAGTGCTTACGTCGCCTTGTGTCTAGGTGACTACATTATGGCGTTAGAACACGCCGAAAAACTTCTACAACAACCACGCTTATCAGGAGCCCACAAGTATTTTTTTTTGTTTAGGTAGTGTCAAAAAATAACTGTGTGTTGTAGGCTTCTGGGGCATTTATATTGTGCTGAAGCTTTAGTTCTTCTGGATAAAATATCAGAGGCTTTGGAACATTTAAATCCAGACAACGTCAAACACATCAATTTGGAGTTGCCAGGAGGTGAAGACAACGATGAGAAGAGGATAAAAACGTCGCCTCCGCCAAGTTTGTACTGTGTTACAAATTTTAGCACGACTGTGTTATTTTTTAATTTTAGAGTGGTTTCCGCACAATTTGGCCACAGCTCACGCCACAATGCAGTATAATATAGCCGTTTGTAAAACCATAAGGGGTCAGTTGGATGAAGCTATAGCGCTTTTAAAACAAGTGTGGCAGATGAGTGGCAAATGTAAAGTCCCTGGTCATATAATAATGCTAGTTTTATACATAGAACTCAAGCTAGGTGGGTTTTTCTTACAAAAAACAAAAATGTTATTAATTGTTTTGTTTGAAGGTCGCCCAGAGCCCGCCCGCAATTTAATCAAGCAATATTTATTTCAAAACAGATTATAATGTGTGGACAAAAAATCAATATATTTATTTTAATCTGTTTACATCCCGTAGCTTTCCGCCTCAGCGTTAGCAAGACTACTCGACAATTGGATTAATATTATGATGTAAGTGGTGACCCCTCCGACGATCTGAAATCACAAAATTTAGACCAAACTCACCCAATTTGTAACGTACAGAAAACACTAGAGTGTAGTTAATCGGGAAAAACCCAGCAGCGTTGAACTCCACTTGCTCGTTGGCGATCTGCAAAGAAAACATTTCGATTTCGTCGCGAACGTCGCGGTCTTCTGTATCTATTTTGTGGATGAGTTCGCCGGTTTTGTTCACTTCTTCCACCGTCGAATAGCACACGTCGCAGACGTACACCGTGTTAATAATGAAAGTGGCGTTGGACAACAACGAGTTGAAAACGTCGGAAACAGTGACCACTGTAGACTGTAGAGTCGAAGTGAGGTAGAAGATTGAAATCACGATAACGACGAAGCTCACACCGAACATGAGCAAGAGAACTAAACCGAAAATGTCGTTGAAGAGTTTGACGAGCTTCGACAAGTGGTGGTGTAGAGCGCAGATTTTATTGAGAGTGAAGAGGTGCTCCATTGTGTTGAATTTCAAACATTTGGACTGTTTTTTGTGGAAACATTCGATTAAATTGCCGATTTGGCGGTTGAGAATGATGAATCGGACTTTCAGTTGTAGCACGAAGGTGGAAGTTAGGTGACACACAGCTGAGTTTACGGCGATTAAGAAGTACGCCATTGATTCTACTACCATGTCGGCGTCGTTTTCCAAGGCAAGGTAGGCTAAACCTGCGACGTTAACAACGATGATGGTGTATCTAACCAAAATTTGCGTTATTATTTTCTTGTGGCTTTTTTTGTAATTCAAGCGGATACCCATCGTTTGGATTTTGGTGTCGAAGTCGATTAATCTTGACAAGAAATCGATAAGTAGGTTGCCGTTTGTGATGGCGCAGATCCAAGTAGTGGCCACGTAAATTGCGTTGGCTACTAAAATTATTATGTTGGTGGCTTTGTAAATTACGAAATTTATTTGGATAGCGGTAGCGTAAATGCAGTAAAAAATCGCAGGTAAGTATAGTACAACTAATACAATGTTTAAAAAGGTGTGTAGTTTTGATTGGTGGAAATTTTTTTCGTTGAACATCGTCAGACCGAAAATTTTGCTTTGGAGGAGGAGAGGTCTGATTGAATTTAAGAGTTTTTGGGAAAATTTTTCGTTCATTGTGTGTTTTTAGCGCGAGCGGTAGCCGAGAAATGGATTACTTTCGGGTAGACTTATTGTTTTAGTTTTATATTAAGTGGGTACTTGGTAATTTTTATTTCGACCATTATTTGTTCGAGTAAACAGATTAATAAGTTATAATACAGTCATTCGTTTGTTGTCATTAACGATATTAAAAAAAGTCGTTGTAATATTTGCAAAACAAATAATTTTCATATAGAATTACATTAAAGTGATTATTTATTTTCGTAAAATGGAACACAATTTTATTAATGGATAAACAATATCAAACAATTTTAGTTCAAGTCAGTACGTCGGTGCTCGTTGTATTAAAATCCCCCGAAGTATGGTTACCTAGGTGCAAAAACCCGCACTCTTTTCACAGCAGAAATGCAAACTATAAGAGAAAAACGTTAGTAGGACCTTTGTTTAAGTATATTAACATCGAAAAATTAAAAAAAATGGAAAATCAAAAATTTAAAAATTCCGAAAATTGAAATATAGAACTCGAGCAATCGAAATATTTAAAAATCGCAAAACTCAAAAATCGAAAAATTGAAAAATAGAAGAAAAATTGTAAAATCGAAAAAATGAAAAATCACAAAATTGGAAAAATGCGAAAATAAAAAAAAAATTAGTTCAGAAATCGGAAAACTGAAAATTTAGAAACGTTTGAAAAATTGAAAAATAGAAGAAAGATTGTAGAATCTAAAAACTGAAAAATCACAAAATTTAACGAAATATCCAAAAATTAATAAATTAAAAAATTGAGAAACCGAAAAGTCAAAAAGCAAATTCGAAAAATTGAAAAACTGAACAAATGAAAGACGAAAACTTTGGGAAGTGGAGAAATGGGAAAATAAAAAATAGATTAATTCAGAAATCCGAAACTGAAAATTCAGAAAAGTCAAAATTTGAAAAATTAAAAAATATTGAAGAATTGAAAAATCTAAAATTTAAAACAGTGAAAAATTAAAATATCGTAAAATTGAAAAATGTAAAAATCCAACATCAAAAAAATCAACAAATCGAAAAATCGAAACTAGAAAATTTTAAAAGTTGAAAAATTAAAGTATGGAAAAGTTGAGAAATCTAAAGTTTAAGAAACGAAAAACTGAAAATCCAAAAATAAATCTGAAAATCCAAAAATAAATCGAAAAATCCAGAAGTCGAAAAGTCGAAGAATCGAAATAGTGAAAAATCTCAAAACTGAAAGAAATATTCAAAAATTGAGGATTTAAAACAATTGAGAAATCGAAAAACCAATAAAGCGAAGTCGAAAAATCGAAGAATTGAAGAGTGAAAAATCGAAACTTTAAGAAGTGGGAAAATCAAAAATAGATTACTTGAGAAATCGGAAAACTGAAAATTTAGCAACGTCAAAATCTGAAAAATTGAAAAATAGAAATACTGAAGAACTGAAAAAAAAATCGAGAAATCGAAAAATCTATATTTTAAAACATTGTACAAAAAATATCGCAAAATTGAAGAATCTAGAGATCCAAACACCAAAATATAAAAATTCGGAAATTTAAAATTTAAAAAATTGAAAAATCGAGAAATCCAAAAATTGAAACATCGAAAAATTAAAAATTCGAAAAATTGAAATATAGAAGAACTGAAAACTTGAGATATCGAAAAACCTAGAATTTTAAAAATTGAAATATTAAAACATCGAAAAGTTGAAATTTTGAGAAATCGAAGTATAAACAGTCGAAAAATTGAAAAATCTCATAACTGAAATAAATATGCAAAAAACTGAGAAACTAAAAAAATGGAAAATTGAGAAATCGAAAACCTAAAAAAGCAAAGTCGAAAAATCGTAAGCTGAACAATTGAAAATTTAAAAATTCGGAAAATTGAAAAATTAAAGTCTAGAACTGTAAACTCGAGAAATCGAAAAATTTAGAAATTTAAAAATGGAAAAATTAAAATATGAAAAAGTAGAAAAATTGAGAAATTGAAATATAAAACAATGGAAAAATTGAAAAATCCAAAGTTTAAAAAATGAAAAACTAAAAATCCAAGAATAAAAAATCGAAAAATCCAGAAGGCGAAAAATCGAAAAGTCGAAAAAATTTAAAAATCGAAAAACCAAGATGGCAAAATTAAAAAATCGAAAATTTAAAACAACGAAAAATTAAAATACATAAAGGAAAATTGTAAAATCGAGAAACCCAAACATGAAAAGATCAAAAAAACAAAAATTGGAAAATCTAAAATTTAAAAATCCAGAAATTGAATAATCGGTTAATTGAAAAATCGAAACGTCGAAAAATTGAAAAGCCTAAAATTTTAAAATGGAAAAGTTAAAATATCGAAAAGTTGAAAAATGAGAAATCGAAATAAAACATTTAAAAAATTGAAAAATCTAAAGTTTAAAATCGAAAAACTGAAAAATCGAAAAATTGAAGAATTGAAAAAAATAGAAACTTTGGCAAGTCGAAAAATGCGAAAATAAAAAAAATAATTAGTTCAGTAATCGAAAAATTGAAAATTTAGAATCGTTTGAAAAGTTGAAAAATCGAAATATTTAAAAATCGCAAAACTCAAATATCGAAACATTGAAAAATAGAAGAAAAATTGTAGAATCGAAAAACTGAAAAATCACAAAATTGGAAAAATGCGAAAATAAAAAAAAGATTAGTTCAGAAATCGGAAAACTGAAAATTTAGAAACGTTTGAAAAATTGAAAAATAGAAGAAAAATTGTAGAATCGAAAAATTGAAAAATCACAAAATTGAACGAAATATCCAAAAATTAATAAATTAAAAAATTGAGAAACCGAAAAGTCAAAAAGCAAATTCGAAAAATCGCAAAGTTAAAAATTCGAAAAATTGAAAAATCAAAAACTTGAAAAATCTAAAAATTGAAGAAATGAAAGATGGAAACTTTGGGAAGTGGAGAAATGGGAAAATAAAAAATAGATTAATTGAGAAATCCGAAAACTGAAAATTCAGAAAAGTCAAAATTTGAAAAATTAAAAAATATTGAAGAACTGAAAAATCTAAAATTTAAAACAGTGAAAAATTAAAATATCGTAAAATTCAAAAATGGAAAAATCCAAACATCAAAAAAATCAACAAATCGAAACTAGAAAATTTTAAAAATTGAAAAATTAAAATATGGAAAAGTTGAGAAATCTAAAGTCTAAGAAACGAAAAACTGAAAATCCAAAAATAAATCGAAAAATCCACAAGTCGAAAAGTCGAAGAATCGAAATAGTGAAAAATCTCAAAACTGAAAGAAATATTCAAAAATTGTGGATTTAAAACAATTGAGAAATCGAAAAACCAATAAAGCGAAGTCGAAAAATCGAAGAATTGAAGAGTGAAAAATCGAAACTTTAAGAAGTGGGAAAATCAAAAATAGATTACTTGAGAAATCGGAAAACTGAAAATTTAGCAACGTCAAAATCTGAAAAATTGAAAAATAGAAATACTGAAGAACTGAAAAAAAAATCGAGAAATCGAAAAATCTATATTTTAAAACATTGTACAAAAAATATCGCAAAATTGAAGAATCTAGAGATCCAAACACCAAAATATAAAAATTCGGAAATTTAAAATTTAAAAAATTGAAAAATCGAGAAATCCAAAAATCGAAACATTCCGAGATAGCGAAAAATCAGAGGATCGAGAAATTGAGGAGTCGGAAGCCGAAAACAAAAGTTAAAAATTGAAAAATTGATAAATCGAGAAATTTTAAAAAAGAAAAATTGGAAAATCGAAAATTAAAAATTCGAAAAATTGAATTATAGAAGAACTGAAAACTTGAGATATCGAAAAACCTAGAATTTTAAAAATTGAAATATTAAAACATCGAAAAGTTGAAATTTTGAGAAATCGAAGTATAAAACAGTCGAAAAATTTAAAAATCTCATCACTGAAATAAATATGCAAAAAACTGAGAAATTAAAAAAATGGAAAATTGAGAAATCGAAAAACTAAAAAAGCAAAGTCGAAAAATCGTAAGCTTAAAAAACTGAACAATTGAAAATTTAAAAATTCGGAAAATTGAAAAATTAAAATCTAGAACTGGAAACTCGAAAAATTTAGAAATTTAAAAATGAAACAATTAAAATATGAAAAAGTTGAAAAATTGAGAAATTGAAATATAAAACAATCGAAAAATTGAAAAATCCAAAGTTTAAAAAATGAAAAACTGAAAATCGAAAAATCCAGAACTCGAAAAGTCGAAATACTAAAAAATCCCAAAACTCAAATATGTATCGAAAAATTGAAGAAAATTGTGGAATCAAAAAACTGAAAAATCACAAAATTGAACGAAATGTCCAAAAATTAGGAGATTAAAAATTGAGAAACCGAAAAGTCAAGAAAGCAAAGTCGAAAAATCGCAAAGTTAAAAAATTGGAAAATCAAAAACCGGGGAAATCGAAAATTTGAAGAACTGAAGAAATGAACGATGGAAACTTTGGGAAATGGAGAAATGGGAAAATAAAAAATTAATTAATTGAGAAATCCGAAAACTGAAAATTCAGAAAGGTCAAAGTTTGAAAAATTAAAAAATATTAAAGAACTGAAAAATCGAAAAATCTAAAATTTAAAACAGTGAAAAATTAAAATATCGTAAAATTGAAAAATAGAGAAATCCAAACATCAAAAAATCAAAAAAATAGGAATTCTAAAATGTAAAATTTAAAAATCGAAAAACTGAAAAATCAACGAATCGAGAAATCGAAACTAGAAAATTCTAAAAGTTGGAAAATTGAAAAATCGGATAATTCAAAAATCGAAAAATCGAAACATCGTAAAATTCAAAAACTGAGACATCGAGAAATCGAAAAATCAAAAGATCGAAAAATTGAGAAACCGATATACGCCAAAATCGAAAAGTTAAAAATGGAAACATTGATAAATCGAGAAATTGAACAATCAAAACATGGAAACATCCGAATCTCGATAAATAGAGATGTCAAAAAATTGAAAAATTCGGAAAATTTAAAAATTAAAATCTAGAACTGGAAACTCGAAAAATCGAAAAATCTAAAAATTTAAATATTAAAATTTGGAAAAGTTGAAAAATTGAGAAATTGAAATATAAAACAATCGAAAAATTGAAAAATCCAAAGTTTAAAAAATGAAAAACTGAAAATCCAAAAATAAAAGATCGAAAAATCCATAAGTCGAAGAATCGAAATAGTGAAAAATCTCAAAACTGAAAGAAATATCCAGAAATTGAGGATTTAAAAAATTGGAAAATTGAGAAATCAAAAAACCGATAAAACGAAGTCGAAGAATTGAAGAACTGAATCGAAACTTTGAGAAGTGGGAAAATCAAAAATAGATTAAATGAGGAGAAATCGGAAAACTGAAAATTTAGCAATGTCAAAATCTGAAAAATTGAAAAATAGAAGTACTGAAGAACTGAAAAATCAAATAATCGAGAAATCCAAACATCAAAAAATAAAAATTCGAAAATTTAAAACTTAAAAATCGAAAAATTGAAAAATCGGATAACTAAAAAACCGAAACATTGAAAAATCGGAAAATCGAGCAATTGAAAAGCCCAAAAGTAAAAACCGAGAAATCTAAAACTCGAAACATCGAAAAATTAAAAACTGGGACATCGAGAAATCGAAAAATCAAAGGATCCAGAAATTGAGGAGTCGGAAGCCGAAAAGAAATGTTAAAAATTGATAAATTGATAAATTGAGAAATTTTAAAAGAGAAAAATTGGAAAATCAAAAATTAATAAAAATTCGAAAAATTGAAATATAGAAGAACTGAAAACTTGAGATATCGAAAAACCTAGAATTTTAAAAATTGAAATGTTAAAACATCGAAAAGTTGAAATTTTGAGAAATCGAAGTATAAAACAGTCGAAAAATTTAAAAATCTCATAACTGAAATAAATATGCAAAAAACTGAGAAATTAAAAAAATGGAAAATTGAGAAATCGAAAAACTAAAAAAGCAAAGTCGAAAAATCGTAAGCTTAAAAAACTGAACAATTGAAAATTTAAAAATTCGGAAAATTGAAAAATTAAAATCTAGAACTGGAAACTCGAGAAATCGAAAAATTTAGAAATTTAAAAATGGAAAAATAAAATATGAAAAATTTGAAAAATTGAGAAATTGAAATATAAAGCAATCGAAAAATTGAAAAATCCAAAGTTTAAAAAATGAAAAACTGAAAATCCAAGAATAAAAAATCGAAAAATCCAGAAGGCGAAAAATCGAAAAGTCGAAAAATTTTAAAAATCAAAAAACCAAGATGGCAAAATTAAAAAATCGAAAATTTAAAACAACGAAAAATTCGAATGCATAAAGGAAATTGTAAAATCGAGAAACCCAAATATGAAAAGATCAAAAAAATAAAAATTGGAAAATCTAAAATTTAAAAATCCAGAAATTGAACAATCGGTTAATTGGAAAATCGAAAATTTTAAAATTCCGAAAATGGACATATAGACGCACTGAAAACTCGAGAAATTGAAAAACCTAAAATTTTAAAATGGAAAAGTTGAAAAATGGGAAATCGAAATAAAACAGTTAAAAAATTCGAGGAATCGAAAATCCAGAACTCGAAAAGTCGAAATACTAAAAAATCCGAAAACTCAAATATCGAAAAATTGAGAAATAGAAGAAAAATTGTAAAATGGAAAAACTGAAAAATCACAAAATTGAACGAAATATCCAAAAATTAGGAAATTACAAAATTGAGAAACCGAAAAGTCAAAAAAGCAAGGTCGGAAAATCGCAAAGTTAAAAAATGGGAAAATCGAAAATTTGAAGAACTGAAGAAATGAAAGATGGAAACTTTGGGAAGTGGAGAAATCCGAAAACTGAAAATTCAGAAAAGTCAAAATTTGAAAAATTAAAAAATATTGAAGAACTGAAAAATCTAAAATTTATAACATTGAAAAATTCAAATTCATCTAGGAAAATTGTAAAATCGAGAAATTCAAACATCAAAGAATCAAAAAAATAAAAAATCGAAAATCTAAAATTTAAAATCAACGAATCGAGAAATCGAAACTTGAAAATTTAAAAAATCGAGAAACCGAAAAGTAAAAAATCGAAAAACCGACAAATCGAAAAATCGAGGACTGGAAAAGTCGAGAAGTCGAAAAATCGCAAAATTGAGAAACCGAAATGGACCAAAATCGAAAAGTTAAAAATGGAAAAATTGGAAAATCGAGAGATTGAACAATCAAAACATCGAAACATCCGAATCTTGAGAAATCGAAAAATTAAGAAATTGAAATATAAAACAATCGAAAAATTGAAAAACCTGAAGTTTAAAAAATGAAAAACTGAAAATCCAAAAATAAAAAATCGAAAAGTCGAAGAATCGAAATAGTGAAAAATCTCAAAAATGGAAGAAACGTCCAAAAATTGAGGATCTAAAAAACTGGAAAATTGGGAAATCGAAAAACCAATAGAGCGAAGTCGAAAAATCGAAGAATTGAAGAACCGAAAAATCGAAACTTTGAAAAGTGGGAAAATCAAAACTTTGAGAAGTGGGAAAATCAAAAATAGATTAATTGAGAAATGGGAAAACTGAAAATTTAGCAATGTCAAAATCTGAAAAATTGAAAAATAGAAATACTGAAATATCAAAAAATTGAGAAATCGAAAAATCTAAAATTTAAGACCTTGAACAATTAAAATATCGCAAAATTGAAGAATCGAAAAATCCAAACATCAAAAAATAAAAATTCGGAAATTTAAATTTAAAAATCTTGAAGCTGAGAAAATCGAAAATCGAGAATTCGAAACTCCAGAATTTAAAAAATCGAAAAACTGAAAAATTGGAAAATCGAGGAATTGAAAAGCCCAAAAGTAAAAAATTTAAAAACCAAGAAATCCAAACATCGAAAAATTAAAAACTGAGACATCGAGCAATCAAAAAATCAGAGGATCGAAGAATTGAATAACTGAAAATTCGAAATTTTGAGAAGTGGGAAAATCAAAAATAAATTAATTGAGAAATCGAAAATCTGAAAAATTGAAAAATAGAAATACTGAAAAATCGACAAACCAAGATTCGAAACTCCAGAATTTAAAAAATCGGGTAGCTAAAAAATGGAAACACTGAAAAAAATCGGAAAATCGAGACATTGAAAAGCCCTAAAGTAAAAAATCGAAAAAAAAATTTATAAATCGAGAAATTTTAAAAAAGAAAAATTGGAAAATCGAAAATTTCAAAATTCGAAAAATTGAAATATAGAACTGAAAACTCGAGATATCGAAAAACCTAAAATTTTAAAAATTGAAATATTAAAACATCAAAAAGTTGAACAATTGAGAAATCGAAGTATAAAACAGTCGAAAAATAAAAAAATCTAAAGTTTAACAATAAATTGAAAATCCAAAAAGTAAAAATTCGAGAAATCAAAAAAAATCCAGCAATCCAAAAATCGAAAAATCGAAATATTGAAAAATCTCATAACTGAAATAAACATGCAAAAAATTGAGAAATTAAAAAATTGGAAAATTGAGAAATCGAAAAACTAAAAATGCAAAGTCGAAAAATCGTAAGCTTAAAAAATTGAACAATTAAAAATTTAAAAATTCGGAAAATTGAAAAGTTTAAATCTAGAACGGAAACTCGAGAAATCGAAAAATCTAGAAATTGAAAAATTAGAAAATTAAAATATGGAAAAGTTGAAAAATTAAGAAATCAAAATATCGAAAAATTGAAAAATCTGCAGTTTAAAAAATGAAAAACTGAAAGTCCAAAAATAAAAAATCGAAAATATAGAAGTCGAGAAAATCGAAAAGTCGAAGGATTGAAATAGTAAAAAATCTCAAAACTGAAAGAAATATCCAAAAATTGAGGATTTGAAAAATTGGAAAATTGAGAAATCGAAAAACCAATAAAACGAAGTCGAAAAACTGAAAATTCGAAATTTTAAGAAGTGGGAAAATCAAAAATAAATTAATTGAGAAATCGGAAAACTGAAAATGTAAAACATTGAACAATTAAAATATCGCAAAATTGAAGAATGGAGAAATCCAAACATCAAAAATTTAAAAAACAAATATTCGGAAATTTACAATTTAAAAATCGAAAAACTTAAAAATCGACATCGAGAATTCGAAACTCCAGAATTTAAAAAATTGAAAAATCGGAAAATCGAGAAATTGAAAAGCCTAAAAGTAAAAAATCGAAAAATCGAGAAATCCAAAAATCGAAACATCGAAAAATTAAAAACTGAGACATCGAAAAATCAGAGGATGGAGAAATTGAGGAGTCGGAAAGAAAAGTTAAAAATTGATAAATCGAAAAATTTCATAAAAGAAAAATTGGAAAATCGAAAATTTAAAAATTCGAAAAATTGAAATATAGAAGAACTGAAAAGTCGAGATATCGAAAAACCGAGAATTTTAAAAAATGAAATATTAAAACATCGAAAAGTTGAGAAATTGAGAAGTCCAAATATAAAACAGTCGAAATATTGAAAAATCTAAAGTTTGACAATAAATTGAAAATCCAAAAAGTAAACAATCGAAAAATCGAAATATTGAAACACCGGAAAATTGAAATATTGAAAAATTGAGACATCTAAAGTTTGAAAAATCGAGAAATCGAAAAGCCGAAAAATCTCAATAGCGTATTTATAAATCACAAGTTCAGGACTATGCTACATTTAACATTTTCATTTAAATAACATTATAAATTGGAAAATTTTGTTTTTTTCTAAAAATCTTGACGTCTAAGGTGAAAACTCAACACAGATGCATAAATCGTAAACGGAGGATCTAAAATTTAAATTACATCTACTACTGTAAAATTTGAATATATACTTAAACAATGGTAGGACTTAATAGTCTTCAGCTATGGAGTTAGACAGCTGAATTAATATTATAATATAAGTGGTAACCCCTCCAATAATCTGAAAACAACGACTCTAGAGGCACAACTCGTAAAATTTGGCGAACTTACAGAAAATATCAGCGTGTAGTTGATGGAAAAAAATCCGGCGGCGTTAAACTCAACTTCCTCGTTTGCTATCTGTAGAGAAAACATCTCGATTTCGTCCCTAATATCACAATCTTCGGTATCGATCCTGTGGATAAGTTCGCCAGTTCTCTTGACCTGTGGACACAGTTGTGATTAAAATGTTCAAAATTTTCAAATTATACCTCTTCAATAGTTGAATAACAAGCGTCACAAATGTATACCACGTTCATTACGAACGTCACATTGGCCAAAAGTGGGTTGAAAACGTCAATCGCGTAAAAAACCGACGTCTTTAGTACGACGTTCAAGTAAAAAATAGAAATAACGATAATCACGAAACTAACAGCGAACATCAAGAGAAGAATCAACCCGAAAGCGTCATTAAAAAGTCGGACAAGTTTCGACAAGTGGTGGTGCAAAGCACAGATTTTGCTCAGAGTGAGCAAGTGCTCAACGTTGCTCTGTTTCGACGTTCTGGCACCACTTTTCTTAAACCGATCAACCAAACTCAAAATCAGCTTATTCAGGATGGTAAATCGGGCTTTTAACATCAACACTAGCTCCCCAGTCTGGTGACAAATCACCGAATTCATCATAATTAAAACGTACGCCATGGACTCCACCACCATATTCGACCCTTTCGGCAGAGTAATATACACCAAAGTACCCACATTCGCAACCACAATCACGTGTCTAACCAAACACTGAACCAGAATTTTTTTCTGCCATTTGGTGTAGTTCATCCGGGTACCCATCGCCTGCAACTGAGTGTCGAATTCGATCACTTTCACCAAAAAATCTACGAATAAATCGCGCTTTGTGGTGGCACAAACCCATGCAGTGACCATGTAGACCACATTCCCTGCCAAAATCATGATATCGGTGGCTTTGTAAATCAAAAGCGTGTCGACGATGGCGGTGGTGTACACGCTGTAATAAATCGCCGGCAAGTAGGCAACCACAGCCAAGAAATTCAAAAAGGAGTGCAGTTTTGAGGGTTCGAAGCTGGTTTCGTTGAAGGTGATGAAGCCGAAGATTTTGCTCTGGAGGAGGAGAAGTCTAATAGAGTGGAGGAATTTTTGGGAGAGTTTGTCGTCGGTTTTATGAAATTGGATTATCTTCGCCATGGCGATACAATGGTACGAATGTGAATAGATTTAATTGAAACTACCTATCTAGGTAATTTGTTATTGGTGATTGATTACGTGCGTAATTGATTTCAATTGGTGTCTAATTACAAAATACAAACATGTTTGTCGTTTGCTTTTATTTAAACATGAAAAAATTAATGTTTAGCTAGACTGGCTGCAAGTTGTATTAATATGATGATGTATGTAGTGACGCCGCCGATGATCTACAAACAAATATAATTTTCGTGCATCTCCTCGATGTATTTGTTTTACCGTGAAGAGCAGCTGATGATCGATCGGGAATAGTCCAGCTGCACTAAACTCCACGTCGTGACTAACGATCTGCAAAGAAAACATCTCGATTTCGTCGACGACGTCGTAATTGTCGGTGTCAATTTGGTGAATGTATTTGCCAGTTCTGCAATTGTTTAATCCTGTGTTCCAATATTATATGAAAAAATGAACTAAGTCCGTCTTGAATGGTCGGTACTAAGGTCTACCAGTCAATGTTTCCTTGAAAAAAAGTTACTTATTTCAAACAAGAAAAAAGAAAAAGTACTCGTCGAACTCGTCATCACTTCGATAGCCATCTGTAGATGGTAATTCCGTGTAAAATGACTGAAACTCCTCCGACACGAACAACTTCAGTTCTTGCAGTTGATCGCATTTTTTCCAAGCATAATATAACGCTTCAAGGTTAGATTTCCAGATATAAGATACAGAAAAAAACGAAAACGTTCCTTGGCATGAAAAAATTTTAATTTAAAAAATGAAGGACCCAACCACATATTAGGGAACCATTCTAAATGTGCATAATCTTGAATTTGTGATTAAAAATACTTTATTGAGATTATTCGGCTTTTAGATTTCTCAATTTTTCTACTTTAGAATTTTTCCATTCTTCAAATTTTCGGTTTCTCCATTTTTTTATTTTTCGATTTTTCAATTTTCCGGGGCTTAATGATTGACATCTTTTTCTTAATGTATATAGTTTTTTTTTTTTTTCAAAAACACGATACTTAAAACGTAATTCTAATTTCATATTCACTCATTCATATTTTAAATATTTTCTTTTTGAAAGAAAAGTAGTGTATTACGAAAAACAAAATCAAAGGATAAGCCCCACCCACCCGCCCCATCTCAATTGTGATTAATTTTTTTATTCGTTGTGAGACGGAGGGCGGAGCTTAAATGCAGAGTTCATATTTATCCACAAAAAAATACCATGTGAAATATGTTAAAAAAAATGAGAAAGTGCAAAATTGAAATATCTTTACTATTTTGTAGAGAACTCTGGATTTTGCAGTTAAGCTCCTCCCCTCAATCTGACATCAAATGAAAAATTCATCAGAATTGAGATAGGGTGGGTGGGTGGGGTTTAAGCATTGACATCTTTTTCTTAATGAATATAGTTTTTTTTTTTTTTTCAAAAACACGATACTTAAATTCACTCTTTGATATTTTAAATATTTTACTGTTGAAAGAAGACTGGTATATTACGAAAAACAAAATCAAAGGATTAGCCCCACCCACCCGCCCCATCTCAATTGTGATTAATTTTTTTATTCGTTGTGAGACGGAGGGCGGAGCTTAAATGCAGAGTTCATATTTTTCTACAAAAAATTACCATGTGAAATATGTTAAAAAAATAAGGAAGTGCAAAATTAAAATATCTTTACTATTTTGTAGAGAACTCTGGATTTTGCAGTTAAGCTCCGCCCCTCAATCTGACATCACATGAAAAATTCATCAGAATTGAGATAGGGTGGGTGGGTGGGGCTTAATCATTAACATCTTTTTCATAATGTATATAGTTTTTTTTTTTCAAAAACACGATACTTAAATTCACTCTTTGATATTTTAAGTATTTTACTGTTGAAAGAAGACTAGTATATTACGAAAAAAAAATAAATAAATAAAAGGATAAGCCCCACCCGCCCACCCGATCTCAATTGTGATTAATTTTTTTATTCGTTGTGAGACGGAGGGCGGAGCTTAAATGCAGAGTTCATATTTTTCTACAAAAAATTACCATGTGAAATATGTTTAAAAAAAAATTGAGGAATTGCAAAATTGAAATATCTTTACTATTTTATAGAGAACTCTGGATTTTGCAGTTAAGCTCCGCCCCTCAATCTGACATCAAATGAAAAATTCATCAGAATAGAGATAGGGTGGGTGGGTGGGGCTTAAGCATTGACATCTTTTTCTTAATGAATATAGTTTTTTTTTTTTTTTCAAAAACACGATACTTAAATTCAGTCTTTGATATTTTAAGTATTTTACTGTTGAAAGAAGACTAGTATATTATGAAAAAAAATTGAAAGGATAAGCCCCACCCACCCACCCCTTCTCAATTGTGATTAATTTTTTTATTTGTTGTGAGACGGAGGGCGGAGCTTAAATGCAGAGTTCATATTTATCTACAAAAAATGACCATGTGAAATATGTTAAAAAAAAATGAAGAAGTGCAAAATTGAAATATCTTTACTATTTTGTAGAGAACTCTGGATTTTGCAGTTAAGCTCCGCCCCTCAGTCTGACATCAAATGAAAAATTCATCAGAATTGAGATAGGGTGGGTGGGTGGGGCTTAATCATTGACATTTTTTCTTAAAGAATATAGTTTTTTTTTTTTTCAAAAACACGATACTTACATTCACTCTTTGATATTTTAAGTATTTTACTGTTGAAAGAAGACTAGTATATTACGAAAAAAAAATAAAATAAAGGATAAGCACCACCCACCCACCCGATCTCAATTGTGGTTAATTTTTTTATTCGTTGTGAGACGGAGGGCGGAGCTTAAACGCAGAGTTCATATTTATCTACAAAAAATTACCATATGAAATATGTTAAAAAAAATGAGAAAGTGCAAAATTGAAATATCTTTACTATTTTGTAGAGAACTCTGGATTTTGCAGTTAAGCTTCTCCTCTCAATCTGACATCAAATAAAAAATTTATCAGAATTGAGATAGGGTGGGTGGGTGGGGCTTAATTATTGACATCTTTTTCTTAATGTATATAGTTTTTTTTTTTTTCAAAAACACGATACTTAAATTCCCTTTTTGATATTTTAAGTATTTTACTGTTGAGAGAAAACTAGTATATTACGAAAAAAAAAAAATAAAAGGATAAGCCCCACCCACCCACCCGATCTCAATTGTGATTAATTTTTTTATTCGTTGTGAGACGGAGGGCGGAGCTTAAACGCAGAGTTCATATTTATCTACAAAAAATTACCATATGAAATATGTTAAAAAAAATGAGAAAGTGCAAAATTGAAATATCTTTACTATTTTGTAGAGAACTCTGGATTTTGCAGTTAAGCTCCTCCTCTCAATCTGACATCAAATGAAAAATTCATCAGAATTGAGATAGGGTGGGTGGGTGGGGCTTAATTATTGACATCTTTTTCTTAATGTATATAGTTTTTTTTTTTTTTTTCAAAAACACGATACTTAAATTCCCTTTTTGATATTTTAAGTATTTTACTGTTGAAAGAAAACTAGTATATTACGAAAAAAAAAAAAATAAAAGGATAAGCCCCACCCACCCACCCGATCTCAATTGTGATTAATTTTTTTATTCGTTGTGAGACGGAAGGCGGAGCTTAAACGCAGAGTTCATATATATCTACAAAAAATTACCATGTGATATATGTTAAAAAAAATGAGAAAGTGCAAAATTGAAATATCTTTACTATTTTGTAGAGAACTCTGGATTTTGCAGTTAAGCTCCTCCTCTCAATCTGACATCAAATGAAAAATTCATCAGAATTGAGATAGGGTGGGTGGGTGGGGCTTAATTATTGACATCTTTTTCTTAATGTATATAGTTTTTTTGTTTTCAAAAACACGATACTTAAATTCACATTTTGATATTTTAAGTATTTTACTGTTGAAAGAAGAGTAGTATATTACGAAAAAAAAGTATAAAAGGATAAGCCCCACCCACCCACCCGATCTCAATTGTGATTAATTTTTTTATTCGTTGTGAGACGGAAGGCGGAGCTTAAACGCAGAGTTCATATATATCTACAAAAAATTACCATGTGATATATGTTAAAAAAAATGAGAAAGTGCAAAATTGAAATATCTTTACTATTTTGTAGAGAACTCTGGATTTTGCAGTTAAGCTCCTCCTCTCAATCTGACATCAAATGAAAAATTCATCAGAATTGAGATAGGGTGGGTGGGTGGGGCTTAATTATTAACATCTTTTTCTTAATGTATATAGTTTTTTTGTTTTCAAAAACACGATACTTAAATTCACGTTTTGATATTTTAAGTATTTTACTGTTGAAAGAAGAGTAGTATATTACGAAAAAAAAGTATAAAAGGATAAGCCCCACCCACCCACCCGATCTCAATTGTGATTAATTTTTTTATTCGTTGTGAGACGGAGGGCGGAGCTTAAATACAGAGTTCATATTTATCTTCAAAAAATTATCATGTGAAATATGTTAAAAACAATGAGAAAGTGCAAAATTGAAATATCTTTACTATTTTGTAGAGAACTCTGGATTTTGCAGTTAAGCTCCTCCTCTTAATCTGACATCAAATGAAAAATTCATCAGAATTGAGATAGGGTGGGTGGGTGGGGCTTAATCATTGACATTTTTTCTTAAAGAATATAGTTTTTTTTTTTTTCAAAAACACGATACTTACATTCACTCTTTGATATTTTAAGTATTTTACTGTTGAAAGAAGACTAGTATATTACGAAAAAAAAAAAAAAATAAAAGATAAGCACCACCCACCCACCCGATCTCAATTGTGGTTAATTTTTTTATTCGTTGTGAGACGGAGGGCGGAGCTTAAACGCAGAGTTCATATTTATCTACAAAAAATTACCATATGAAATATGTTAAAAAATGAGGAAGTGCAAAATTGAAATATCTTTACTCTTTTGTAGAGAACTCTGGATTTTGCAGTTAAGCTCCGCTCCTCAATCTGACATCAAAAGAAAAATTCATCAGAATTGAGATAGGGTG